AACCCCCATTCCTTGTCCTCCTGCACGGCCGGGAGGGGGAGGAGATAGACAACGGGTGGTAAAGTTAAGCCTGGCAAGGAGGGAAGGGTGGTGGAAAGGTGTTTCTAAGATTTGTTTTACTTCTCATTATCATACTCTGATTTGATTGGTACTAAATTCAATTAACTTCCCTAAGTTGAGTCTGTTTTGCCTTTGACAGTAACTGGTGAGTGATCTCTCTCTGTCCTTAACTCACCAGGCTTTTGCCATATTTTCTCTCCTCTGCCCAGACAAGGAGGGGAGTGATAGAGCAGCTTTGGCGGGCACCTGGTAACCACAGAGTAAGATCTTAGGTATTCAAATACTTTATCTTGACTAATTGTAAAAGGCATTTATTAGGAATATCCTTAAACTTAGATCTTAGAATCAGCTTTGTACAGCCTTCTGCCTCACCTTTCATGGTGACTACCAAATCTGTTTCTTTTCTAGTCTTGATAAATGCCACTTTTGCCATCTTGGAACATTACAGGTCTTGCCGCACTGGTTTTTTTCCCTTCATAACCCAACAGCAATCAACAGTATTGTCTGTAATACTATATTAAATGCAAATCATATTATGTAATAATTTTATAAAACACTTAAAACAACAACCCACACCAAGTACCAAGTCTTTCACTCATCAAATTTGCCCAAAATGCTTCTAAGACTTCCAAAAGACATCCTCAAGGAAAAACTACAAAGCCTTACAATTAGAAACAAAACGGGAATAAGAGTAAACCAGCATGAAACTGGAAAAAACATCCCAGCTTTCACAAGAACAGAGCTCACAGTGGAAGCAATAGGTTCAAGATTTTTTTCTTTTATTCTCACACCACATTTATTTCACATTTTCAAACACTGAAAAGCTGTCATTTTTCCCAGCAAAAAATACAGAACGTTCATCTTTCAGCAGAATTACTGTTGGCAGACATTCACTTCCAGTATAAATCTTTTCTAAATATTCAAAGTAAGTGTTGAATTCTCTGTTGTGAATTCAAACTTCTCCATATGGGGAAATATGTGCAGTATCAATCAGAATATCTTGAAAAATTATGTGTGAAGAGGCTGATCATAACATTTACAGAACACACACACACACACATGCTCAAAACTACACTCTTCATCTAATTTTCAGTAAATGCTATTCCAACATGTCTACAAATGGATGTGAACAGTTCTTATGAAAGAAGTACTATTTCTGTTAAGGTCGTGATCCCCGAGGGGCTAAACCTTCTTGCCCGCTATTCCGTTGACTGCCTTACACAGTAGCTTTTGAATAGAGGACTTGCAAAAACCAAATGACAGCATCTCCAAGTGTCTGAAAGTGCATCAGACTCAGAGAGCTGTGTCTTTACACCAGAAGGAGCTCTGATGGGACTTTAGTAATGAGACCCTAATAACATTTCTACTCATAGTCTGAAGTAGCAGCTTTACTACATTGCTGAATTCAGACTGAGAAAGGAATCCCGTTTCTGCAACACTGCAACCTTTGAAAGTACATTGCATTCTGCCAGATGTCACCAACAAAGTCCAAGGCTTGTGTTTCGCACAGAAACATCCCTCATCAGAATGTACTATCCTATGGCCTTACATAGCAGGAAACAAAAGATGCCATCTATTTTAACATCAGCAAAGCCAATTTTTAAATCCACAAAATATTAAGAGCAAGTAATTAACTGTCTGGCACATGCTGCGGCTAAGCACTACCGCTGCAGTTAAAAGGTAAGTGCCACCACATCCTACTAAAATCTTCCACCAGCTACTTTTGGGAGACTCACAGAACTGCTGTGAAGACCCTCACATATTTTTATTCATAACCAATAAAATTCATCCATTGGAAAAAAAGCTACTGCTTTGTTTTATAATTTGTTCATGAGCACCTGACTGCATTAAGCACCATTCCCTTTCCTCATCCCCCTCTTCAAGGACAGACCATGCAAGTTCTAAAGAGCTGCAGGGGATTGTCTGCTGCAACACTCTACAAAGCCACAATCACAGCCACACAGCTTCTTGTTTTGTTCATATAAGAACTGTCACACCTGGTCAAGGTCTGTTCTCGAACAAGATAAAATGGTAGATCCAGGTAATTAAAATTTATAGCCCACCTAAGAGTCACTTTCGTTTTCTGATGTGCACAACCAGAATAAGACCTCGTTTTATGATTCAGATGAATTTGTTTAGAAGAAGCAGCATCACGTCTGGAAACACAACAAAATATTTTCATTTTTTTCTGTTGAATCATACACTGGGTAGCTACTTTGAAGAGGATGAGGGGAAAACTGAGTGCTGGAAGGCACTGGAGTAGAAAGGATTGGAGATATTTAGAGGAAACACAAAGTTCCAACCAGAGTGAAGTTCTGTTGTATAATCCCAGTGCCTTAAAGGAGACAGGGCTTCTGTCCTTAACAGACAAAAGTGGGAGGACAGACATAAATAGACACACCAATCTGGCCTGCTAACACCTGGTTAAACCGTAATTTTCCTGACAGTTTGAAGTGATACATTTTTGACTTAATATGGGTAAAATATGTTGGACTTAACACATTTATACTGGTACCTTCAAGACTGAACCTAATTTAGGAAGGTAGAATCACAACAGATCATATGGATTTTTTAACTGAATAGTAAGTTTTTACTCTTACTGGAATTTTTGTATAGTGACAGGGACATATGTTTTTTAGAGGTATCATGACTCAAGACTTAAGAAAAAGTCCTGTAATTTCAGCAGTTCTTTTGTTGTTGTTATTGCCATACTGCACAAATAATTTGTTTCAAGTCAAAGAATCTACTAGAGGTATATCAGAGTAATTAAGAATCCCTGACCCCAAGTTTGATTCTTTATCTAAACTGTTGGAACTAGGTAGTTACCTATCAGCATATCAAGGCAAAATCTTTTTGGTCTATTGTAATGACACTTGACTGTCCAGGGGGATTTCAATTGTGTTTTGGGACCAGGCCTCAGTTCTTTCAGTGATTTTATTCCATTCCTAATACTGAAATATTGATGATTGATGATGAATTTGCTTCACCATTCAACTTTCAAAATAATTTCACCTTCAACTATCTGGGTTCACAATGTATCAACATTATAAAGAACTCTGTTGGATCATCCTTCGAATCTGCAAGACTAACTGACTAAAAGGAATTTGTTGGATTCAATTAGCAGTTTTACATTCTAAAAATCAGTGATCTTCCTGTTTTTGTCATTAAATTTGTTGGGACCATATCTTCAAGACCAGACAGAACTCCCTACAGATCCAGAAGTGTGCCAAGATACAAATTGAGGGCTCTTATCTGAGATTAGGGGACATTGAGAATTCCCTGTCTTGCAAAAACAAACTTCAGTTTCTTAGTGACACCTACAGAGCTAGGTCAGCTAACCTGCAGAAAGGATCATCTACAGCAGGAGAATTATACAGAACCTTTTAAAAAGGTTCGATCAAATCTTTTCTCACCAGCTGCCATAGGCTCTGAAGCAGACCAGCAGACAGTCACATCAGACAAATCTTTAACTTCTTACATTTCTGACATGAATTTGCCTACTCAGTTTTTGCCATGTGTCAGCCACCTGATATCCACCTAACCAAATTATCAAATTTTTTTTTTCACTCCCTGATCAAAGTGCTTCTCACACAGCAAATGCTGCCACAGAGGCCAGTCATACCCTTTTTACCTGAAGCAGCCCTTGAATAGAAAAGGAGATAAATACCTGCTGTCAAGCCCACAGGAGATGGCTGGTGGGGACATGTTATCCTCTGTGCATGCAATTCCCACATAGGAGCAGCTGCAAGTCATATAAGCTGGTAGTACAGGCAGCAAAACACATTCCAAATGAGGAACCTTCTCCCTATCTCTTCCCAAAGCAGTAACACTTTGAAAATCATTTTACGTTTATACTTGTAACAGCAATGACATCTTGGGGATTAGATAAATTGAGGAACACTTTCAGTTTAAGAACTGACTTTGGTAAGAAATTCTAGGATACTTCATGTACTACTGTCCAAAGTAATATTTTCTCTTTTGGGACAGTTAGTGGAGGACATTTCAGAAATGGACATAAGTCAGGCTGAACATGTAGTTTGTAATACCTGACATAAACCCACTTAACAGCCTTAACAAAAATTCTGATGACTTCTCAGTCCAACTCCCTGGATATAGTTAATGATCAGAAGCAGATTACTAACAAGAACCATAACTAACATCAAACAATAAAACACTTATACAGCCACTTCAGTCTAAAAAGCCAAGACACAGACAGATCATGGGAGAGAACCCCTCTATGGGGCACAATCCACCTGCTGCCCTTCAGTGGTACCATGGAATCATGGAATATCCTAAGCTGGAAGGGAACCCACAAGGATCATCGAAGTCCAACTCCTGGCTCTACAGAGGACACCCCAAGAATCACTCCATGTGCCTGAGAGCACTGTCAAAACTTGTTGAACTCTGGCAGGCATAGAGCCGTGACCCCTTCCCTGTGGAGCTTGTCCCAGTGCTCAACCACCCTATGGGCAAAGAGCTTTTTCCTACTGTCCAACCTAAAGCTCCCCTGACACAGGTCCAGCCGTTCCCTCGGGTTCTGTCACCAGAGAGCCGAGAATGGAGCCGGCCCTCCGCTGCCCTTCGTGAGGAAGTCACGTAACAGCCCGAGATCCCATTCCCCAAACCCACTCCTTCCCACTCTGATGCCGCAGCAGCAGCAGCCCAACACGGAACAGCCAGGCCCCTCGGCTCTGTATTTACAGCTTCATCTTTCTATCAACAAACCAACCTCCCACCCCGCTTCTCGTGTCGCGGCCGACATCTCTCGCCGCCGGACAAGACGGAGTCGGCAGAGGGCAAGCAGCCGGGAGGGAGACGCGGGCAGCACAACTCCCCTACCAGCCCGGGCGGGGGGGGGGCCGCCGAGTCCCGCCGCTCCCTCCCTCTCTCCCCACCCGTTCCCATTCCCATTCCCGCTCCCGTCCCTGCCGCGCGGGTACCTCGTGCCGGGCCCCCGCTGCTCCTCAGGGGCCCCGTGACGGTTCCACGCGGGCCGCTGCCGTCACACACACACACACCGCCCGGGCCCCCTCCCCTCCCGCCCGCCCCGCGCAACGTGCGGCAGCGCCCGTCCCCACCGTCACCTTCAGGCCCTGCGGCGGCCCCGCCTGCGCAGGCGCCGGACCCGCCCCCTCCCGCACGGCCCCCTGGGGCCCGTAGTCCCTGTGCCCCGGCGCGGGCTCCGCCGCCTCTCGTGGGACCGTCAAGGCTGGAAGACACCTTTGGGATCACCCAGTCAAACCGTCCGCCCGGCCCTGCCACTGTAATCCCTAAACCATCATAGAGCGGCAGATCCTGACGCCTCTTACAACACCTCCAGGGACAGTGATTCCACCACCTCCCTGACCAATGCCTGACCACACTAACAGTGATTTTTTTTTTCCTAATATCAAATCTGAGTCTCCCCTGTCTCAGCTTAAGGCCATTTTCTCTGGGCCTCTCACTGCAGGCACGGCAGAACAGACCGGCTCCCGCCTCACTGCACCCTCCTTTCAGGGAGTTGTAGAGAGCGACGAGATGCCCCTGAGCCTCCTTTCCTGCGGGCTAAACACATGCAGCTCCCTCAGCCGCCCCTCACGGGTTCCCCAGGGTACACCGCGCGCGCGCAGCGCCGTGTTTTCCCACTCCTTCCTTTCATCCCTTCCCCCGCTCCATCCCCCGGACGTGACGCTCGTCACTTCCTCAAACAGGGATGGCGGAGCGCTGGGCCGGGTGAGTGCCGGGCCTCCCTCCGTCTCTCCCTCCCTCCCTCCCTGCCTGCCTGCCCCCGGGCGGACCCGCGGCGGTGCCCCGGGTCGGGCGGGGTGAGCGGGGCCGGGTGGGCGCAGAGAAGCGTCGGCGCCGCCGTTAACGGGCGAGGAGGCCCCGAGGGCTCCCGAGGGCTCCCGGCCGGGTAACGGGCGAAGGGAGGGAGGGAGGGAGGGAGGGAGGGAGGGGAAGGAAGGGGCGCGTCCCGAGGCCGGCGGACCCGTTCGCCCACTTTTCTCCCCCTCCCCTCTCCCCCCCTTCCCCACGCTCCAGGCGTTTTGAGCTCTCCGGCTGTTCCCGCGAAGGAGCTTCTGCTCCCCCTGGGCGCTTGGTTGTCAAAGTCGGATCGTTTCACAATTTAGCCCATCAAACCATCTGCTTGGAATAGCCGCGTGAGCATAAGGAAGGGTGCGCTGCTGCTGCTTTGGAGACTGAGTCAGGTGCTGCGGCGTAGTGGAGAGATTGTTTCTACAAGTTGCACTCTGAGGCCATCTGTTTTGAGGAGAGCTGCTCTGGTGTCTCTGTGTAGTGGCCCCCTTAATGGATGTGTTCTGGCAGTAAGAGGCGAGCCTGGATACGGTGGACTGTGCATGGGTTTTGTTATGGATTTGCCAAATTTTTGTTAAGGAGTTGCCAAATTGCCCCCTCCTGTGTCTTACTACAAAGTAGATGCCCCGTGTCCTGATGATGGTGTAAAGAAGAACTGGTGAAAGAAGAACAAGTGTAAAGAAGGCTAGGATGTGCTACAGACCAAATGAGCTTTGTGGCAGTGGTTTGCAGCCCTATGGGCTGTGTGGGTATTTGTGAAATAGGGATGCGGGAATGCAGCTGCAACTGAATATTCCAGGTTGGCTTGGAGCATAGTGGGTATTCTTGACAAACTGGAAAATCCACAACTGATATGAAAACTTGCTAATAAAAAAAACATCTTGAGGACCTCCATTTTAAAGCATATCAGGTTAAATAATGAATTTACTAATTTGAAAGAACTCGTGTTTCTAAAAAAAAAGTGATTTGTAGGTTACCTTTTACAGGGAGGGAAAGAGGGAGTTTACAGTCTCAAAACCAATAACACGTTGCAGTTGAATCATATACTTAGGAAAGATACTTAGGAAAGACTCAAACATGAAGAGTAAAGATTTATCTTAATTTGATCTTATTATAAGAGTACTTTGAAATTCTGAGTATTTAATTGTGCTTTCTTTATGAAATAACTAGTCAAATTTGAAGTCTATATGTTGTGTAGGGCAAAAGCATGTTATGCTTTTATAATACCAGTGTTATGTTTGAAAGTCACGATTGTAACCACCAGTAAGTGAAATTCAACACTGAAAATCTTTGGTGTTTTGTTTCTTTCCCTTCTATAGATTTCCATTCTGATCAGTGGACAAGGAGACGAACCAGCCAAAAATGGCTGATGTAACCAAGACAGAAGAACAGGAAGTAGAGAAGAGTTCGGTTGAAGAAGTGGAAAAAACACCTGGTACTTCAGAGTCAGATTTGGGTCTTGGGTGTGGGGGTGAAGGTGACAGTTCCACCTCAGGTACAGTGCAGCCCATTGCAAATGAAAAAGAAGGTGGTCATGGTGATCACGATGGTAGAGCAAAGAGGAAGAATTTAGATTCTGCAGATGAACCTCCGAAGAAAATAGTGAGTATCATTTATTTTGAGTTGTTTTCAAATCCTTTTTTCAAAGCCTTAGCTCAAGAAAAGATTGAAAATATTTATGCTAAGCATATGTGAACCAGCATGAAACACCAAATATCAAAGTATGTGGGTAGCTTCCTAGCAAAATAACAGGTGCACAAATTATGTTGTCTTCACAGAAGAGAAAGAGGGCTGGTAATCAGAATGTTAGTCTCAGTACGTGCTTAGTCTAATTCTAAGACTGTCCTTCCATCATTTGTGTGGTAGCAGTCTGGTAGTGTAGGGTTTACTGGCATTAGTCCAAGTCCTGTATCTTGAACTCAGATCTCGTGTATGTTGTTATGCTGTGTGTTAGAGCAGTTAACCTGTGCTTGGGAGGTTCTTCCATAAGATAATTTTGTCCTTTCATTTCATCGGTAAGGTATTGTATAGTTTACAAAACTCTGCAAACTGCATCCTCTGTGATATAACTTAAGTCTAATTTGTTTACAAAGTGAAGTACTGAAAGATTTAAGATTTTTAAGACTACAAAAGTAGCAGAAAATATATGCCCTTTTAATTGGGAGGGTGAAAACGGTAATGTTTTATATGATGCTGTCGTTTTTTATGTATGAGCTTGTAGAAACCGATGCTTTAATATCCAGTCTAATTTTGACCTTTTGGGATGTTTAAGTGTAGTTTGAAAATGTCTTTGACCTAACGTTTTGTTTCTCTGTCCAGAATTTTCCCAGGATGTTAATTTATGGCTAAGCAGTCTGGTAAAATAAAGGGTGCCCTTCGCTGTGGTAGAAACATTATGAACCCTTTCATCTTTTTAACAATGTGGAATAAGGTTCAGATAAACAAGAAATACATTGTTTTTGTGTAGCTTAAGGGTGGAGAGAAGTGATTGAACATATCTGCCAGCATCTAGATGTTATTGCTGATGGCTCTTTGCAGCTGAGATGTTAATGGTTTGTATGAGTATGTTCCCCACACTTGTCTAAGCCGTTCTAACTTATGTCACCTTCAGTTGCCATTCAGAGAGCCATCTGTGCTTACCCTAAAAAAGAAGTGGTCAAAATATTTGTTAGTATCAGTCAGCCTGGTATGGTAATAAACAGATGATGGGGTCATGGAGATTCCAGACAACTACTTCTGTATTCGTTCTGAAGGTTAGCAAATATGTATATGAAACACTGAAGAATTCACTTGTTATCTTAAAGTCAGTCAAACCTTCTTTTCCCTTGAGGAACAGCTATTTGAATAGTAAGATCCTGGGAAATTTGCTTTTGTAGTCAACTCTGGGGAATGCTTTTGATGGTTGTATGGATTCATACTGTCTGGGCTTTGTAGCATGTTTTTATGTTTTAACTGAGAATCCTTCATTCTGATTTATACTGTTATTTCAAATGCTTTTGTGCCTCACAGAATTTGTGTTGGTTCTCTGTGTTCTGTTACTTTATTTATAATTTATTTTCATTTCATGTATATAGTTGAAGATTATTTTCAAGGTGAAGAGATGTTGGGAGCATAATATCTGGGTGTAGATTGCTTCTCTTTGTAACATGGGACAGAAATCTCTTGGAGTATTTAAAGTTAAGGCTAAATCAAAGACATTTCTGTAGCTAATTGTAAAGCATGAGATAGAATATATTGTTAAGTGATTCCTCATTCCCTTAACATGGTCTGCTTAAAACTCTGGCAGTGGGGTTCATCCACTTGGGGCTTTATGCAGCATTGGCTAGTTGGCATTTTGATTAAATTGGCAGTTTATACACTTCTGTCAATGAAAACACTGAATTTCTGAAACAAGCTCGTTGAACAGTCTTCAAGTTCCTGGAGAAGGAACATCCTTTTCTTCAGTCCCAGGCTTAAGGGAAGTGAAACTGATTCTTTGAGAGCGGTGAGAGTATTAGAGAACTGAAAGTATTTCTCTGAGGGAAAGATGCTGGGTATCATCCCTTAGAAATTACTTGAATGAACTGAAAAAGGGATTAAATTTTTAAAGGACATGAGCATCAGGACACGTATGGGAAATCTCTTTATAATGATGGTGCTCTTCAAAGTATTGCTTGTTTGCTTTCTTAAATTCTTGAACTGAACATGTGTGTCTTTTGATTAAATGAAAAAGTAATAAAGAAAATTCACTGCTTGAGTCTCTTCCTTCCTGTCATTTCTGCAGTCTGAGACAGGCCACGGGCAAGCTGTAGCTGCACATTATAATGAACTTCAAGAAGTTGGATTGGAAAAACGTAGCCAGTCTCGCATATTCTACCTCCGAAACTTTAATAATTGGACGAAGAGTGTCCTCATTGGTAAGCTGCTTTGATTCATCGCTTAGATCAATCAAAACGATTGAGTAAAATGTAACCATTTTTTGTATCAAAATGTAACTTTTTTGTTTCCCTACTCGATTGACAGTCTCCTAATACGTGGTAAGTTTTTCTACTGCAGTGAAGTGTTTATATTTAATTTGAATCTCTGTGGTAGTGTTTTATATTGTTGGAGTGCCAAACGTATGGTAAAGTTTTAAAGATCAACTGACTTAAAAAGCAGAAAAAATTCATACTGGAAACTGTTCTTCGTGACATTTTTGCAGAGAAAAGTACAGCTTTACATCATAAAGAAACGATCTGTTCTTA